TATAGTACATTGCCTGCATCTGCGCGAGAGAGACATGCTTATACTAAGTACATGCTCTATCTGATATTCTTGAGAAACAGAGAGAGAGAAGTATTAGATACGGTATTTTCTTACATGCTACTAAAGTATATCTCCTCGTAAGTATAAGACTCACCGCGTGATTTAGTTTTATACTTAAAAAGCAATATACATACGTCTGATGACATCAAAATATACATATACCCAAAATAGTCAGGTTCTTTCTTTGTTAGAGGTGTATATTTTGGTGTGCCTATATCTCTTCTAAGGTGGTGCTATCCATAAGTTCTTTTTTACCTCTCACGCACTTACGACTGTCGAATTGAACAAATTGAAGAAGATCAAAGAACAGTAATTAACAAAGAGTGTGTGGATAACACTACTCATCTTTTAATGTCTCGTAAAGATAGAGATATGCTATTAAAAAGGTATACACCTCGTTGCATCTAAATGATTGTCGTGAGGAAGGCGAACGGGGTTAGAGAGTAGAGATAGGGTTACAGTTGGTGTCGCATTACACTAGTAAATTTGAAATGAGAAAGGCAAAAGGTTAGATACATTGGTAAAACTAGGAAGGAATCCAATGAACGGGTAAGAAAGGTGGTAAACGCGTACACGTGGCCCTTCCAAGGAATCCTAAGACTAATCCAAGATTCTAATCCTAATCTGTGGATTAATAAGGTTACTAATTACATAATTAACAAATTATTATTTTTTAATGCAAATTTTTAATTAATTTTATCGAATGTCGTTCCCTCCGGCCCGCTGGCCCTCCCAAGCTGACTTTTGTTTTTCTACGCGGTTTCAGGCCGCCCTTGCCCAACCCCAATGTCCCAGCAGAGAGAGAGAGAGAGACCCAACCCGCTTTGCTGCCTGCCCGAACTGCCCGACACTTTTGGCGGGAACTTGCCCTTTGAAACCTCCAACATTTGGATTCATTCGTTTCCCGCTAAAAATTTTGCCCCGCGAAAAGTGAGAGCCGTGTGACGGCTAGATGCTTTATTCTATGTTTTTCTAAGCTGTCACGGCACCGCTGATTTTGCCACTGGGTCCCACTGATTCCCATTCCTGACCGTTGAAAATTTTAGTCTAGAAGTGGGCCCCCGTGATGCGCTGGCCCAAAGGGCCTCATTTGGCAGAAAATGGCCCAAAACCAGTCCAGCGATGGTCCAGGAAAAGGTGGTCCGGTATCCCGATTTGGGTGTTCGTGGCTGGTGATAATTTATAGGTTTTCAAAAGAAGATGCCATTTGTTTGATGAGAAGTAAAAGGAATATCAAAAATTCGAGTGGCTGAAGTTGAAGCAGCAATTTTCGAAAGTATCAGGAAGAAAAGCAACAACTGGATGGGAAAGTCAGAGTTCAAAAGATGATTCTTCACTTCTTTCTCTCATTCAAAGCTGTGCAGAGACTTTCATCTCACATGACTCCTAAATGATAAAAGAAAGAATAACTAATCTTCTTTCTTTTTTGATTACCTTCCTCGCGTATGTATAAGACCGAATATATTCAATTTCGAAAAAAATGATTACTAGTCCTTAACTTTTCGAGGAATCCTTCATCAATGATTGTGAATAAATGATTTTTCTCAATCTTTAGGACCTTGGTTCATATAGGCTACAATTTTGATTTTTGTAAAGGTTTTTTGGACCGAGCATCCCTTGAGGTTATGTGGTTACAGTGGTGTAACCCCAAAAAAAAAAAAAAATTCGTTAAATTATCACTTAAGCGACCATGTGATCACTTTTTAGGGTTTTTTTTTTTCTTTTCAATCAACCCCTCTATTTAACAAGGATGTGGACAAATGTTTCACGGAATGACCAAAATGTTTTACGGCAGACAAACTAAAAGACAATATCTATTGATTTTCATTGTTACAAACTAAAATGATGAATTATACCAATCTCAAGAACCATTTTAACTAAAAATCCTTGTTTTGTGTACTATGTTCTTAGGCCATCCACGAAGTTTCTGACCCAAAAGATGAATCTTATCAATTAAGTTGATCAGGTATGCTTATATTTTGTTGTTCCATCAAGAAATTGTTGGTAATGTATTTGGATCATGGTATTATATTGTATTTGATGCATTAAACGTGTTTTGTGAGTTCGATTTATGTTTAATTAGTAATCAACGGACTTGAGCCGGACTTGAGCCAATGGGAGAATTTTTTTGGGGGTCAAATAAAGTTGCTATGGACTTTTTAGTGGAAAATCAATCTAGAAACCGCGGCAACGGCGAGCGCTCGCCGATGACCTCCATGGACAGCGGTAATCTAGTGCCCTTTAGTTTTCATACACCTAAACTTTCGAGGATTTCATGTGGCCACGATGTCATGTGGTAACAGTGGTATTGACCGCTCTCGATTTGTAGCCGTATGATCTATCTTTTGTTTAGAATCATTTATCTTACGAGAGTACCCAATGCTCCGTTGCATTGCATTGCAGAAAAGCTTAAATGTTAAAATGGTTAAGATGTTTTACTTTATCGGTCAATTTAGTTGCTGTGTTTTAGTTTGGGCATTTGTATTTTACTATATCGGTCAATTTAGTTCCTGTGTTTCAACTTGCCCAAACTGGTCATTGTGTTTATATCTATTAGTCAATTTAAGCATTATGTTAAAAGACAGTTAAAATTAACATGTTCTAAATCGCATAGTACTCAAGTGAATTGAACGAAACGTCATTTTCTAAATATAGGCATCGTATCTGTTTAGTGAGTGTACATAAAATTACGTTTTTATCCTCTCACGTGCCTGACACATGTCAATTTTAACGGTCATTTAACAAAATATCTTGAATTGGTTAACGAATGTAAACACAATGACCAATTGAACCAAATTGAAAACACATGAACTAAATTTGCTGATAAAATAAAACACATGATTATTTTGACATTTAAACCATGCAGAAAAATTGAAAATCATAATTTGAATGTACTTGAATTGAATGGACATTAATGTTGTCAATGAAAGCCTAGACTAAATTTCTAGACTTTTAATTAAAGTGAAATAATGCTTGGCTTTTTATATATAAAAAAATTGTTTAGGTTACCGAACAAACATTACTATAATTTGAGCTGTTCGTTATTTTTATCCTCATTTAATATAATTCACAGAAGATTGTTGAGTTTATCGTACAAATGTTAGTATGATTTAAGCTATTCATTGTTTTCATCGCCATTTAATATTAATTAAAAAATAATCATATTTTACATATTGTTTTTTTGTTTGGAAACTATATTTTACATTGAGAAAAACAAGGGTTATGCTACCCAACAAAAGAATTGTATAAATAAATAAATAAATAAGGAATTTGGACTTGTGTGCTCTCACAGAAAGCAGCCCCATTTTGAAAATAATTAAACAATTTGCTATTTTATTATTATTTTTTGGTCAAATTATTAGTGCTTACATTTGAGTTTTGACCAACTATTTCTTTTTGAAATTATTTTAGCCGTGTGCTAGGTACACCAAGCATAATAACACAATTACTTGACCGTGTACTACATACATTGAAAAATCTCTCATTCTACTCTAAAATAAAAGCTTACATTGCAGCTGCAGTAAACTTGATTTGATAGGGAGGTAAATATTATGTCAATTTAATGGTACGATACAAATAGAAGGGTGAATTGAAGGCATTGTTCTAACTTGCACAACCTATGACAGAGACCTGCTTAAACCCACATTAATTTGCATAATCTCCAGAAATCCAAAGAAGATCAGGAAAACCGCTTCTCGATCTCGCTTAACAACAGTTATAGCAACACGATTAAGTCTTAATCCTTCGCAAAATGGCAATCGATTACTTATTATTAAGATTAACTAACAAGCACAGGTTACAACTAAGTGAAGAGGTTGAGTGTTTCGAATCAACCAACCAACCAACAAAGAGAATGACTTTTTATCCAGAAATCCAACTAAATAGGAATCTGAAAGTTCAACAAACAACCATCAAAACTAATGGAGAAGGAACCACCTAAGAACCCGAAAACGGAGTTTTACATTTCGTAGGGGAGAGCTCAAAGCTATCCGAAACTGTCATAGCAGGGAGAGATTCTACAGTGTAACCGGAGATATACCCCCTTCTCTCTATCTCACTAATCACGCGTCTTACACCCAAAAACGATACCATAAACTAGAAAGTTCTGTCTTATGTCCAGCAACAATTCAACATGGTCTAGTGGATCGACCTTGCAGCTGCACGAGCAGCGGTTTAAGAACTGAAACAGATGCTCAGTTATGCGTTTTGAAATGTTCTAAGAACTCCCTACGAACTAGTGACAAGTACTAGCGAGAGAGCGGAATCATTTGAGTCCAACCAGCAGCATATTTGTTGTTAAGACAACTCCAAATCTTATGCAACTTGAGCAACCTAGTACTTTCTTAACTACATAACCAATGTGTTCTGCTCCAACACCTCTGGAAACTCGTATATTTTTTTTCATCGATTTGCTTCCAACCAAACTCTGTTGTTTGTACCATACTTAACCAATCCCGAAACTATTGAGCACCGGTCAACGTTATACCGTCAAGGATCCACAAGAGTTTCCCTTCTACCAGAAGACCAATCACAACGCGACACGTGTCGACTTCAGAGGCCAATCATAACGCGACACGTGTCAACATTAGATGTCAATCACAGCACGATACGTGTCAAAGTCAGAATAAACCTAGAGACTCTCTTCTATAAAAGACGATCATTCTCTCACAATATTTCCTAATGTCATTTGTACTAAATCACTCACTAAAAGAACCCTTCACAATTAATGAGAACTTCTCTACTCTGTAGACGTAGCCAATCTGGATGAACCACGTACATCTTGTGTTTGCTTCCTGTTTCTATTCATTTACATACTTATCCACACTAGTGACCGGAGTAATCTAGCGAAGGTCACAAACTTGACACTTTCTGTTGTACCAAAGTCCTCATTGATTTTGTGCATCAATAATTAAATGCATGTGCAGTATGACAATCAAAGCTTAACTGATGCAATAATCTTGATTTATTAATAATTAACATTCATATACATAACTTACAAGTATCATTATTTAGAGAGAGCATAAGCTGCTCTTCTGGAGTTCATTTCCAGACAACAAACCTATTTACAACTTAAAATCGAACGAGTATAGAGAATCGATAAATACCTGTTTCGTTTCCTTGGAAACATTTTATTAACATAAATATACATTTGTAGCTTCGCCGAATCAAGCATCAGCCTCAATGAACTTACTTGAGGCACAAGTCTTTGCTGCATCCGATATCTTGCTTTGCTCAACCTGCACCTCTCTCAGCTGAGGAGAGTTGAGGACCAAATACTCAATCGCCTCGGCTTGAATCCCACGACAGTGCATGATATCAACACTCTCCAAACGCTTACAGCTCTTAAAAATCGAAACCATGGCTGCAGTAGTAAGCCTTCTACAACCTCTCAGCCTCAAATCAACCAAATCATTACACGAAACTAACATCGACATGAACTCTTTATCCACCAGCATTTCGTTATAAGACAAATCCAACTTCCTCAATTTCCTCAAATTCTGTCCTAATGTGGCCAACAACCCCGGCTCTCTTTCAACCACATCACAATTCACCAGTGCCAATTCTTCGAGGCCTGAACTCGCGGCGATAGCAAGAGCTCTGAGGCCTTCACCGCTGACAAGACAGCAACTTTGAAGCTTAATACTCGAAAGGCTTCTGAAATTCATCGCCACAGCCAATAGATGATCGTTATTAAGGTCGAGGGGCAATCGAAAATCTACTTTTCGCAAGTTACAACGACTTTGGCTAAAGAATCTGAGCAGGCCCTCACTGCTGCCACCATCATAAACCAAAAGGGAAGTCAGAGAATCACAATTCTCCGCCACTTTCAGCAGAACACCGTCGATTATTGCCCTACAAGTCCGGAGCTCCAGCTCCTGAACACCCTGCAAACAACTTTCAAATGACGAAAATGACCCTCCATCCCCAATCCCTTCACAGCTTTTCAACTGCAATTTCCTCAGCTTTCTGCAGCTCCTCCATAGCCAGCCAAAACCCCAATCGCCGGCTCCAATTCCAGATAAACAGAGACTATCCAAACCCAATTCTGCAGCAGAATCCTCCTCTGCAGAAAACCCATATTCCCAATTGGGGTCAACGGCATGATCAGCGCCGTCCCCGGAGCAAACCGTGACTGACAGTTCCTTCAAAGATGGAAACTTGAGGACCCACATGAGGAACAGAGGCCTGGAGAGATTGATATACAGAGAGGTGAGCTGGGTACATGATGAGGCGAGAGAAGCGAGGGAGGAAGGAGAGACAGGGCCGGCCAAGAACCTGAGGCTGAGAAGCTGGGGGCAGAAGGAGGAGACTAGGAAGAGGAGGTGGTCCGCGAAAGCGGTGGTTTTTGCGGTGGCGGAGGTGGTGGGGTCGGGAGGTAAGAGGAGAGAGAGGGAAGAAAGAAAAGGGTAGTGAGAGAGGAGGGAGGAGAGATAAGGGAGGGTGGAAGGATGAGTGGTGAGGCGGAGAGAGAGGGTAGTTGTGGAGGTGCGGTAGATGCGGAGCCACCGCTTGGAGACCAGAGAAACGGAGGAGGAGGTTGATGGTGGCAGCCTTTGGAAGATTTCTTGGACAAGTTCATCACATAGCACTTGTCCATTTCTCTCTTCTGAGGCTCAAATTTTCATAATCTTCATCTTCTACATATTTTCTTCTATAAAACTTTGGAGTCACCACCTACCAAAATGGAAACGAGTATCTTATTAGGAGAGCAACTTCTCAGTTTATCGTTACTGTAGCAACTCGTGCCAATAAAATAAAACAATTATATATAATAAAATTAACACAAAACATCACCATAATACATAAATTATATATTATTGACACATAACGTTACAATAGTTGTCCAAGTCTAAAGGCTTTTTAGCAAGAATTTGAATTTTTTTCGCACTTTAGTGTCGAGAGCTTAAGACCAAAAAAATATGGGTCTTTGACTTGTGAAAGAGAGAGAACGAGATAGGTCAGCAAAGTGAGTTAATAGAAACTATCAAATTCAATTTGAATAATTCGAATTATCTGATTATACGACCGAGATTCAGAGAGGAACTCTCTCGTATTAGCAACATTGACTATTTGGTTATTTCATTTGCTTTGCTGGTGCTTTGTATTCCTTTGGTTTTGCTTACTAAAGATTAGGGAGTTTGCTTTAAGCGCGGTTCCAAGTTTCGAGTGCGTACAGACACATACAAACATTCTCAAGAGATTACGTGATTCACACGCGCTGCAAGGCGTGTGAAGTGGGGCTTAAAACAGTAACCAATGAAATGAAAGATTCACACGTCATACAACGGCAGCCGCTCGTTTGGCCGTCACCATTTTGTACTTTTTAAAGATTTACAATCATGATTATCAAGTAGGCCGTCCCAAACAAATTCAATCACCGGAAAGGAAAGTGTACAAAACAAAAATATGATCAAGTCCGGAAATTCTCTTATCTCGCTAATTTATTACCTGTTAATTGTTTATTATACGAGTAGTATGTTTTTTAACATCTAATCATCTAAAGTTTTTTCAAATTTATCGTATCGTTTTTTATGGATTAGCATCTCAACAGGTATAAAGAAATCGTCTTGGTAGCAACCATCAAACCTATAGAGCAAGGGTTAGCTCCGCAGACATAGACCATGTACATGTAGTATGAACATTATCGAGACTAAATTTTGATTGTATGAAAAAAAAAATCTCTCTCTAGAGAAGAATTCATGCACAATACATAATATTTACATGAAACTTGTAGCTCAAACGGGTAGTAGTGTTTAATTTACCCCGAAATGCAGTGCTATTTCCAATTTTTTATTAGACAGTGGAGCAATCACAGCCGTCGAACTCTTGAAGGTGCACCTATGTATCTAAAGTGACACTTTACCAATAAATACAAAAAGAAGAAAATACCATACCCATTCATCCGTATTGGGTAGGAATTTCGAATCACAACCATCTTTATTCCATGGCATAAATTCCTTACCTTTGGCTTTGGGTGAGTCTCAAAATATGGTCCTTTATTAATTTGTAGCATCTAATTTTGCAAGAAATATTACTCTTACCACATTTTTCATGTCATTGCACATTTGTATGCACAAAAGTACCGCCTTTCTAATAGAAATGGGACACACGTGTTGGTGAACCTTACCTTTATTAGATAGATAGTATAACTGTGATATGAAAAATTTTATAAGTGTAACATTACTCAACTTTTTGACAATCGGCAATAGGTCCTCATCTCCCATCCTATTTGTTCAACGGAGATATTAGTATCCCAAGTCAATCACACGTTGACCTGGCCTATGAGAAAGTTCAAACTCATTGTTTTGAGTGATTGATGTGGGATGCCGGCACAATGGCATCCCACTCCAGGTAGGTTTTTCTCCCGTATTACATGGAAACTAGCCTCAATTCTATGCCCAATGATGCATTCTCTAAACTCATCCCACACTCATATAACAGTCACTATTCTTTGCAGGTCTAACCAACTACAAATTCATGTGAAAGTCGTTTATAACGTGTTAAGAACGATGAAACAAAATATGAACACACAATGCCCAGCATGGCAGGTGAACCATACCTATGTAGAGGTAAGTAGCACTATTCCAAGCCCAGAGAGACTCCACCCAGGACCAGTAGTCACCAACATTAGTGCTGCCGAAACCTTCAAATGCGCCTTTCAGCACTATAAAAGCAACTGGCGGGAACCCAATAAACCCCAGGACAAGATTGCAAACCGCCCTTGAAAGTGTTCTCTTGCTCCTAACTTTAACATCGGGCTTCAACGGATGAGCCATCAAGCACATTGGTACCATCAGTAACCCCCCAATTTCTGCTGTAGCAAAGTTAATGACTGACATGAGACACAAACCAATGAAGGCAGCTGAAAGAGTCACTGATTTCAAGATGGGCCATTCTACTCTTTGAGGTTGAGATTCATTGGCGTGAGATGACGGAGAGGCCAAAACCATGTACATAACCACAAGGCTGAGTACTGAAAGCAAAACCCAGATTATAAAGCTGGTTGTTGGGGTGCAACTCGGCATTTGACAGATAAAATACGGGAGTAGTGAAACAACAGAACCCCACAAGTGGACAATAAAAGCTTTCTTTGCTGCATATAGCCATTTCCATGATTCGCGAGTGATGATGGCCGAAGGAGAAGGTTTCTCTTTTTTCACACTAGAATCGGAGTTACTAGCATCAACATAGAGAGAAGCTGCCACCAAGGGGAGTGGTGCAACTAAAAGTGCAAAAGCAATCATGTAGACTCCCACCGACACAAATTTACCTGGAGACGTTAATAGGTACAGAAAAAATGACTGGTGAAACTTCTCTAGAAGGTTGTTTACTGACCGAATGACTCCTTCGATTAATCTGCATAGAGAACAAGAAAACCTCAACCAAAAATATAAAAGCAGTAAGGACACTAAAAGGCTATAAATATCAGAAAAATTCTTGCATAAAATGAAACTGAAAACGTGGCTACAAAAAAAGATGTTAATTGGCTGAGTACAAATTTTCATGGGAAGAGATATGATCAAGCACTAACCGGCCACTTCGTAGAAGTAAGTCATTTCGTCTGGCTATGTTATCCAACGAAGAAAATTTAGGGGAAATTTCCAAAGTAATTGCATCAACTTGGTAGTCACGGAAGGCACCATGGGGGCCAGTGGGGACACCCAAAGCCTGATATCATGAAGAATAGGTGACATAAGTGAACATACCTTTGTTTTATATCCTTATTCATCCAACAAAAATTATAAACAAATCCTCTCAGGTACTTAATTTAAGTACCAAAAATTTTGAAACAAAAAGAAAAGTAGGCCAACCTGGTTGTACAATGAACTTGCGAGTGTAGCACTGCCCTCTATATAATCATTAGCTGGGATACCAAATTTCCAATCAGGATTCAAGCTTCTAGCAAAATGTCCGAGTGATTCAAATATTTCACCCAAAGTATTGAGCCACTTCACGCCAAGTAAAGACCAAAATTTCTCCACCTTTACCCGCAAACCTTGCCTATGTACAGCTAAGTAATTCACAACATTGATGAGGTCAAGATTTGGCATTTGCCCATTGGATGCCTCAGCATAGATGCTTAGACCATCCTCAAATTGTTCACTTTGATCTGCAACCTTGATGACAAGAGCTGCAGCCATGGTTCCAGCACGTTTAAATCCATCGTAAATTGCCCTTTCTGTTGACAGGTTCTCATTCATTCCATAAAGATTATTGCTTTCGGGACATTTCTGCATCTAGCGTGCCCAGTCCGCTAAATACAGGTGTGTGATAGTCTCTTAGCCAAGCAGAAACTGCAGCATACTCTCCAAAATGGGAATCGGCAACGAGCCATATAACATCCTTGGCCAACCAGGGAACTCTGTTGAGCAAGGAAAATACTGAGTATGCAATGCCCAAAGAAAAGGCCTCATTCGGGTTCACTTTCGCTGAATTGAAAGGTGTAACCAAGACAATACCTTCCTTCCCATCACCACGAGGTGCTCTTATAATTCCAACAGTGTTGACACCGTGCATTGAACAACTGACGTTCTGCTCAACTCTTCCAGAATCAGGGCTAGAAAAGAAGTAGAGTGGGTGAAACTCATTTCGCTGAGAGTGGAATTTGTGAAAACTAACTTCGGCACCCACGTTTGACATATGCTGTGCTAAGATTCTTTGACTTCCTCTGAAACATACCATAAAAATTTAATAAATTTGACATAATCAACTAATCTATTTTCAAAGTCGAAAACTTAAGATGTGAGCCCGAACCAGCACCTACCATTGTACTTAAATCAACCTATAAATATTAGACAGGATTTTCCAGTGGCAGACCAGAGGTGAAAAGTTTAAATTTTGCGTTTTTGAATAACATTGGCGTTCTAAGATTCATATAGCCGACCCCACCTAGTGGGGAAAGCTTTGTTGTTGTTGTGGCATAACATCGAATGTTAAAACAGCAATGCCTACACTCTACAGACTAGAATCAACATAAACAACAAAGTGCAGCCGAAATTCGAATAAAGGACATACATTGCTGAACCAAGAGGCTTCAAATTCGAAGAGGTCAAATCACTAACCAATCTGCTCGCCTCTGCAACCTCCTGATTCGAAAGCATAGACGCCGCGGAGCCTGCGAATTAAGCAACCGCATCAGCAGCAAGCAACAAAGCACAGAAGCGAAAAATTAGAACGAAATCGGAGAACTGACCAGACATGAGGGCATTCTCGGAGATGTAAGTGTTCTTGGCGAGAACCGGAAGCAGCAAGAGAGCCACCACCCCGGCGGCGGAGAAAACGACACTGACAAAAGAGAAAAACGACCGCCAATTCGTCACTATCAGTGCTCGCTGGTAATAATTTACCATCAAAATTTAATAAATTATATTATATCAAATTCAATTCAATTACCTGAAGAAGAAGCTGTGGGAGATGAGGAAGATCCCCAGCCATACGATTGGTTTTCGTTTAGGTTTAGCTCCGGCGGCGGTCTCGCTGCCACTCTCCGCCATTGTTTTCCGAGTGGATTCGAAATCCGATGGCGGTTGGGATCGGTTGTTTCTGTTAGGGGTGGTGTGAGTTTCTCAGTCGATCAGTCGGACTCCATTTGTCCGGAGCGACGAGGCTGAAA